GGAAAGATACACATCGATATTGTTAATTAAAAAAATCATACATCGTAATTAAATTAAATTATTTAACGATAATATATTTCTACTCACATTTAAAAAAAATTGATTTTTTGACGTAATAACTAAGCGTTGCGAATCTTATTTATCTTAATGACATGTACAGTTGACGATTAAAAATATTTTTCTGCTAATTAAAATTTAATTCTCTATACATTTTTGACACACTTTAATTTCTCGATTAAGGCATCTGAGAACGCCTTTAGTACAGTCAAACCCAATCAATCAATAAACGTATCTACATAGTACGGTTTACTCTCCAATAAATTATTGATGATGAATCGCCAGTAGTGCTATTTCCTAGACGTTTTATAGGTCCTTGATTTCTTTTCACCTATTTAATCTATTTAATCTTAGGTTATTTTCTCAATGGTTCCTGAATGATCTAATTAGCTGAAAAGAACATTCGTGATTATTATTTAATCTTGATAAAAAATTCAATAACATAGTGAGAAAATATTAAATAATCAGAATCATATAAAGTTAAATCGGTTACACGCCTAAATGCTTAAAAATTTGCATCTTTTTTTAATATAACTATGTGCTCATGTAATTACATTTTACGAACTACTATAAATGCAGAAATGTTAATTGCAATCTAGTCGGATGATCTGACACCTGCTTTCTGCTTAATTCTGAACAAATAAAATATGACTGAATTTAAAATTTTAAATTTTAAAATGGGTTGGGCAAATCTAATAATATTTTTATGCCATGATTGAAATCGATTAATTATGCCATACATTGACTGTTTATACCTTTTATTTGGGTTGGTTGGATATATAATGACTAAATGACTCAAAATGACTCGGTACTTTTGTAAATAACGTGAGCTATTTGTCATTAATTTACAAATGACCAACAAAAATAAACGGTCATTTATTAATTATTTCATATTTCATACATTGACTTATTTCTTGTTAATTAGATAATGACATGCGTCACTTGTAAATGACTTGAGTTATTTGGTCAAAATGACCCTGTCAAAAATGACCAGTCATTTTAAGTCATTTGAAAAATATGCAAATGACCTGGTCATTTACTAATAATGATGTTACCCAAACTATTTGGGACGTCCCAAACTATGTGATGACTAGTACCACATTAAGTTTACCGTGTTATTATTGTTGTCAAAATGTGTGATACTAGTTTTGATAACACAAGCTTAATGGATAACACACGTTAGTGCCGCCCATTCAAATGTTATTGATGGCAGCCTCTAAAACTCTACATTTCATTTTACTGCGTTCCTGGCACGTCTAATTTAGTAGTTGGCATTTACTCATTTGATGTATCATTATCTATAATCTCGTCTAGATTCGTACAATGCTTGTGTTCCTTGTCACTCGATGCTCTTTCAACATTAATGATGTTTAGAAATTGATTGTGTTCTAATTAATATATAAGCAGTAGGAATATTGGCTGAAGCGAGTTTATATCCTATTCGATCCGCACTTTCGTTATATATACACGCCCACAACTGGTGCTAAACCATATCTCAGTCTCGGTTTCTTACATATTGATATATTACACATACGTACGCGTATATCCTAACTACGTAAAAAACAGTACTACAAAACCTTAATAAATCAGTAGTAGCTTCGGAACTCGTTTGATTAATAATTGTGCTGGAAAACCATTTTTGATTAAAATAGTTAAAAAGCAATCAAATAAGATTTTATTATGTCAGATCTCAGATATTTTTTGTTAAATATATTTGGATTTCTTCTTTTAGCTACTGGGGTTGGGCTTTTTATGAATTATATAACTGCCAAATGGTGGACGGAGCATTTTGTTATTTGGTTTGGTAATCGTTATTCTTTTACTTACAACCAAAGTGGTCTTTTCGTAGGTGTTCCCTTGTTTGTTTTAGGTTGCCTTTTAGTTTTTCCTACTACAACAGTTCTTATTAAAAGATTAAATCCGAAACCATAGTTTGTATAATAATAGTAAAGGGTAAATCTATCAAAGAATTAGCAAATCATACTACATGAAAGTTTCTAATAGGGAAAGATGTGTGGTGAACTTTGTGTAGGGGTCTACAAATTATCTATTTTAGTGGCTCTGCCCGACTTATTATATAGCAACATAAAAATCCAAAAAAAATTTAATATTTTTAATATTTTTAATATTTATAGCTTATATATATATATATTTATTTATTTATTTTAGCATATTTTGTAAAGATATATATTTATTTATTTATTTTAGCATATTTTGTAAAGATATATATTAATAACAAATAGTTTAGCAAATTTTAATAAAGTTCAATTTTTATTTATTTATTAAAAATTAAATTGAAATCACGTAACTTATAAAATTTTAAATATAACTTATAATTTTAAAAAAATTCAAACTAAAAATTTTTGACTTTAAAAATTTAAAATAAATAAAAAAAATAAGGACTTAATTAAGCATCTTAACTATATAATTTTTGTGGGAACTTTTAGGCATCTCCTGTGAGAGACGCATCTCTCACATCTGTTAGCCAATAGCGAGCCACACTTCAGACAAAAAATTATTGTACTGGTGGCACTATACATCTACGTAGACATTGCGACCTGATCATGCAATGTCCGTTATTACGACCGTTTGGAAGAACAATTCAAACCTCATTCTCAGTTTAGCTTCAGTGGTGTCTCTGGATAGAATTTCAAAAATTAAAATTAAAAATCTTGTGTTTCTAAATTTCAAAATTAGAAAATGAAATAAAAGTTCTATATTATAGATCCATAAATTTTTCTGATGTTGACTATCATAAATTACATAAAATAGAATTTATGCATTTACTTCAAAATAATGATGGTAAGGTTCTTAAAACCTGGTTTGGGACTAGTTTTCAAACTAGGTTTTAGATTCATACTAGGTTTTACATAACGTATGTACAGTATATAATAATGTTATATATTTTTATTATATATATTGTACAAACATCGATTTTATTATATAACAAAATTAAAACGTAATAATAATGAAACATTATGTTAGTATCACTAATTCAGACTATAATCATTATTAGAAAGAGATACAGATATGTCTTTAATCAAGGTAGCTACTCGCTTATCTCATATTACAATGTTTGGGTTATCATTAAAAGCAATGATTAAATATTTATATAAAGTTTACGGGTTATATTTGGAGATACACTTGAAGTTATTTTGAACACCGGATGACAAGATTATAAAATTTAACTGAACCAAGTTCTGAGACAAGGTATTAGAACTTGGTTCCGAATCAATCCAGTTTAACCTATGCTTGGAACTTAGCTTATAAAAACTAGGTCCAGTTCGCAAAATGGTTCCTAAAAGTTTTGGAAACAAAAATATCTAAGCTTGCCTCGAAATAAATATTTTATCCAAAATTAGATGCCAAATCTTTAATTCTAAAGCTACATCTTAACGACAGTTGGAAATTAATGATAAGTTTATCTTGCCAATTGTTTAAATACATGCCTCTCCTTTTATTAACATGATCATTAGTTCTTTGGATACTTTTAGGTTATTATAAAATGTAACAGTATCTTTTGAATTTCAACATCCGCCTCACAAACCTAATGTACTGTACAAACATTATACTGCACTGTATCGCATGATTTATTCTACCTAGCCATAGAGCGTTAGGAGCGTTAGTAGTATTAGAAATATTATGTAGCCCGGTCAAAATTAATGGATCATAGTTACTTCCTGATTGCGGTTACAAAGTGCTACTGATTAAATCTGCATAATATAACTGATAATGTTGTGATAATAGTTATGATTAAATTGATATCGGCGATGATAAACATAAAAAAGTAGTCCCTTTACTGTCATACATCCTCAAATTTTGTAAAATTCTGACTACTAACATATTATACTGATTTTTGTCTACTAAAATTTTGCATAGAATATTTTTTATTAGAACTCCATAAGTTTGTTTTATAATCAGAATTTTGAGATATTAACAAAATTTAGAAGCAGAGTTTTAGAATTAGTGTTAATATATAACTATAAATAGCAAGAATCCGATTACCCAATTTTTTTTAGACGATAATAAGTACTAATTTACAGAAATCTTAAACCCTACAAGCTCCTATTCTTAATTTAAAATAAATATATTTAAATTTATACTTACAAACTAATCATTTACTAATAAAAATATCATAATAATTGTAATTTAATAAATTTAATAGCTTAATTAAATTAAAAAAATCATAATCATATATACGCATGCCTATTAGTAAATTACTAGACTGATTTTCTTTTTATTACTAAAATATATTAAAAATAAAAATTTATTGATCTAAAAGTATTTAACTCTATTATTATGTTTTTTATTCAAAGCCAATTGTATTTTTTAAAAATTTTTTAAATGCAAATTTCTAATTGAGAAATTAGATTAATATAAACCTTCGGGCTAACTTCTCAATTAGAAAGTTTACTTGTTAAAATTTTCAAAAAAATATTTTTAAATAATTTATCTAATTTAAGATAGGTAAAAAAATAAATAAAGATAATTAATAGAATTAAAGATTTTTATAAATTTTTATTTTTAATATACATTATTATTAATTAAAAGAGTATCAGTCTGGTAATTTACTGTAGGTATGTGTATAGTGTATGTACACGGATATTAGTTTGTAAGTCCATATAGCATACTAATCAAAACAATTTTCATAAATGAATTGAACTCTGCTTATGTTTGGATAAGGGTATATTTGAGATTGGGACAGGGTATAGTTTTTACCAAAATTTCGCAAGGAATTTTTTGGTTAGAACTGAAAAGGTAGTTTCATAATCTAAATTTCGAGATATAAGAATTTTTCAGAGAAAGCAATACACCTGATCGTGCTTTCGATATTGTTTATGTACATACACTACATGCATGTAGTGTACAAATAGAAGTTATTTTTAATTAATTAAAATAAATATATATTAAAGTTTATACTTACCCCAGTTATCAGTTTGGCTTTACCACCAGGGTAAATTTTCATTGGTTTGTGGCTTGTTAGCGGCTTGAGAACCACCCCAATTATCAGTTTGAGACTTATCGGGTTTAACACTCCAAGATGTGTTTGTTTCGGATTGTGTCTTATCTGCAGTTTGAGAACCCCAGGGATCATTTCGAGATTTATAGGCTTTAACACCCCAGGATGAATTGGTTTCGGTTTGTGACTTGTTAGCGGCTTGAGAGCCCCATTTATCAGCTTGAGAACCCCAAGTATCACTTTGAGACTTGTCTGCTTTAGCACCCCAGGATAAATTTGTTTCTGGTTCGGACTTATTTGCAGGTTGAGAACCCCAGGAATCACGTCTAGACTTATCGGCTTTAACACCCCTATATGAATTTGTTTCGGATTGTAACTTAGAACTCCGTGGATTATTTTGAGTCTTATCTATATTAGCTCGGGGTTTGTTAGCAGCTTGAAAACTCCAATTATCACTTTGAGACTTGTCGGCTTTAGCACCCCAAGATGATTTTGTTTCTGGTTGAGACTTATTTGAGGTTTGAGAACCCCAGGGATCACTTTGAGACTTATTAGCTTTAACACCCCAGGATGAATTTGCATCAGCCTGCGATTTATTAACTGTTTGAGAACCCCAAGAATTAGTTTGAGGCTTATCGGTTTTAGCACTTTGAGAAGAACCCCAAGAGTCAGTTTGAGGATTGTCTTTTTTAACACCCCAGGACGAATTTGCATCAGCCTGCGATTTATTAACTGTTTGAGAACCCCAAGAATTAGTTTGAGTCTTATCGGCTTTAGCACTTTGAGAAGAACTCCAAGTGTCAGTTTGAGGCTTGTCTGCTTTAACACCCCAGGATGAAATTGCATCAGCCTGCGATTTATTAACTGTTTGAGAACCCCAAGAATTAGGTTGAAGCTTATCGGTTTTATCACTTTGAGAAGAACCCCAAGAGTCAGTTTGAGGCTTGTCTGCTTTAACACCCCAGGGCGGATTTATTTTAGTTTGAGAACCCCAGGAACAATTTTGAGTATTATCTATGACTTGATCACCCCAGTGAGAATTTGTTTTAGTTTGAGACTTGTCTATAGTTTGAGAACCCCAAGAATCATTTTGAGGCTTGTCTACTTTAGTACTCCAGTGGGAATTTGTTTCAGTTTGAGAACCCCAGGGAACGCTTTGAGACCAAGAATCAGTTTGAGGTTTGTTTGCTTTAACACTCCACGGAGAATTAGTTTCAGTTTGAGAACCCCAGTGATTGCTTTGAGACGTGTCTGTGTCTCATCGACTAACAATTTAATAATAAAAATATTAATAAGAATAGTAATTTAATAATTTAAATTAATATATTAACATTTATACTTACTAATAATTTAATAGTAGAAAATTAATAAGTTATAAGAATTATGATTTAATAATTTAATAGTAGAAAATTAATAAGTTATAAGAATTGTGTTTTAAAAATTTAAATAAATATATTTAAAATTTATACTCACCAGCTAACAATTTAATAAAAGAAATACTAATAAGTTGTAATTTACTAATTTAACACTAAACATGCCATTCGACCGATAATCGACATGTTTAGTCGAATGGTTTGTTTGAATAACATATCGTTTGGCAGCTGAATATTGTAGTGCCACTTGACATGTCGAATTTTTTGTTTTTTACCAGTGAAAAAATATAAGTTTATACTTACCATCAACTAACAATTTAATTATAAAAATAATTCTAGGAATTATAATTAAACGATTTAAAATAAAAATATTAAATTTTTTTTAATACTCACTAGCTAATGATTTAATAATAGAAATATTAATAATTTCTAAGAATTATAATAAAAACAATTTAAAATAATTATATTAAAATTTTATACTCACTAACTGAAAATTAATAAAATATTAATTAATAATATATTTAAAATAATTTATTACAAAGTTATAAGAATCATATTTTACAATTTAAAATAAATAATAAAATTTTATACTCACCGACTAAAGTTTCCGTTGGCAATGGGGTATTCGTGGTTACTCGAGGAGGTAAAATAATCGAAGTAACAGCCCTATCTGGAGCTGCCAATTTTGTAAAAATATCTTTCCACAAATTAGGTTCAAGAATTTGTTGAAATGGATATAACTTATCAATAACGTCACCACTGGATATTTGAAAGTATCGGATATGAGGTAGACAATTTTTAAGAGTAGTTTTTAAAGTTAAGAACTTTGCATTAGACCATTGTGCAGGATTAGAATCCAATCCAGGGTTTTGAGCAATTCCCCATCGAATAACTTGATCCCAAATTTTCGCTTCATCCATTTGTAAGGTGTCAAGTTTTAAAAGGGAAACCAAAGCCTTTTCTGAAAGATTTTCAAAGTCTTTAGAATCAAAAACTATATTCGGATGTTTAGCAATTTTATCATTACAAAATTCTTGTAAAACTTTAAGATTATCATTTTCAAAACAAATTTTATAAATTTTGGCGAAATTTCTAAGCATCCACGATTTATGATGCTTAATCAATTGTGTTTGAGCTGCATTAGCCAATTCTTCAAGACCAAATTCATTAGCAGTAGATAAAATGCCAAAAATTATAGATGCATCGACATTATCGAATAGAACTATACCACCATAAATATACCTACATAATTTAAAAAGAAGATATACTTTTTAAAAAATTGCGTTAATAATTATAAATCTAAAATTGGATATTATAACTTACTTCATGACAATTTTAAAACTATCAGCAGAAATATGGGGCATACTGATTTTTTTAACATTCTTGTCATAACTTATTTTAATCAACTTTTCATGAAGATAAAGACATCGAAAATTCAAAATAATTGTATGTGCCTTAAAAATTTTACGGTCTTGCATTTGATCAACTTCAATCATTACGTTATAATCTTCACCATTTTCAAGAAGGTTCGTTAGGTCACTAGAAAGTTTCTTAAAGAATTCGATGGCCATTTTACGCAACAAGAGGTAAAGCAGTTAAGGAGAAAGAAGGCATGTATGTTACGTGCGTATAAATAATCAAAAAAAAAGCTGCATTATGTACTGGCACATGAATATATCCGACTGAAGATCGAAAAGAGTTGCAATGTGCATAATTTAGCCATAACGCCAACGCCAGCTGTCAAGTAATAAAATAAAGTTTTAAAATAGCACTTTGACTAGTTATTTACGATACATATCTAATATTAGTCAACGTTGTCGTCTTATTCTACTTATCCAATTTGAAAAAAAATCAGAAGTGATAACATTAACATGGACTATAATTATAATTATAGTATAAGGGCTTAGTATTTAGATATTTATCTAAAATCTTTACTACTACATAGAAGTTCCCATTTGAACTTTAATTATACTGTATAGAAACTGTATAACATGATCGTGGCACAACTTATGTACTTAACCTGCATAAAACTTTAAAAATGAAATAACACGGTAATGACAATCAATGATCTAAATTTAAGTGCAATTATTTGTTTCAGATATAAGTACAAGGTCTTTACACATTCATTTGTAGCTTGCTAATCATATGTTGATAATGTTGATTAAGCAACTAAAGATCAATGAACTCAATCATGGAAGCTTTCTTTAATGACCACACTTAATGTTTCTGTGTTGAGTTATACGTAATCGGAAAAATGAAATAAGAATTTATGATCTTAATTTGAAACCTCCCCCAAATGAAGCTGTGGCTACCAATTAAGAATGAGTCTCAAAAAATCAATTTTTATTATTAAACCAAATTTTTTTGTAAACAATGACACTAAAAAAAAGGATAAATTGATAAAGCTTAATTTGAGATGATCAATAATTGTGCAACATTTTTTAATGTCGGTAATTACTGTAATTAGCAAGTATGCCTAACCAGAACACCACAACTAATACAATAACGGTAAGGCAACGATTGAGGCGTGGAAAGACTTGGTCTGAGAAACCAGGGTTAATTGGGTTCTTAGTAATGGCGTCGGATTAGAGCTCTGAATTACGTCACGAATCTCTGTATACAGAATCACGGGATTTGGTCACTTTTCCCATATCCCTGCCGTTAATACAGATTTTATTTATCGGGGGGTGGGAATTAGTCGAACAAACTTTTTAATGTTGAATTCCGATCGAGCTAATCTTTATTCAAAGCGAAATGTATTCGCTTATATACTTATTTTTACATAATCCAATATATCGCTGATATCTAATATATCGCTAATATCTGATATCTTTGGTATCTCTGTTATTTCTATTATCTCTATTATCTTGGTTATCCTCGCTATACAAGAAATAACCATTATATCGCTAATAACTGGGATATCGGAGATATCTAGAATCATGGAGATCACAAGGTTTTTCGTGATTCCAAGGATTTCTGCGACTTGTGTTACTAAGAACTGCAGTGATCAACAAACTCGATTTCCCTTTCACAACGTATGTACATACCTTAGCCTAGTGACTGAACTCATATTAATTTGTGGGACAAAGAATTTTGACAATAGTAAATACTGTGATTGAAATTATTAATGAAATTACCACCAATTATGAATCCCTTTGTGACCAGTTGGACCAAATATCTGGGATGGGTTCTGTGATCTTATTAAGATCTGAACATTTTACTGGCTCACTTATGCCTTCTTCTAATCCCCCTGAAGATCTTATGCTTCTTCTAGTGGCTCAAGCAAATTATCATTTTCTAATATTATCTTAATAACCAGAAGGAATTCAAAGTTATTTTTGGTAGAATTATGACAGAAAATAATTATTCTTTAAACAATATGGGTAATTCAGTATCTCTTGGAATTTATTGTAACACAAATCACTAATTCTTCCCAATAATCACTTGTACCAAATTTTCTCTAAAAACAACTGTACTTTTTTTTCAATATTCTATTAAGTAAACACATTTTGTTTGTCTAAGTAAAATTGTTTCTGACAAAATTTTACATATAGACAGTCTAGTTTTATATCTCTAAAATTCTTTATTGAAAGATATAACTAAATTTAATTTTTTGTTTACCTTTAAGAAACCTCAAAATTTTATTAAGTAAATTACTATTGCTTCTTAAGACAAAAAGATTTAGCTTATTCTTAGCTTTAATTGATATATTAAACATTATAAACAGACAAAAACTAAGAATTTTACAACTAAAATACTTCAAAACTCTGTTACAAAAATTTTGCTTAATTTTTGCTAAAATTTTTTCTTTTTTTGGGCATCCTGGTTTCCTAGAATATCCAAATTGCAGATCTATGATTACAAATCAAAATTACAAATCTATTTACACAATTTAAATTTCTGTTTCATTTATTTTTAGATTTAACCTAATTTTAGTAATCTATTTTTAAATAAATTACACAAATTTTGTTTTATGTTAATCACATTAATCTGTCAATCACCTAATTGTCACACCTAGTGCTCCGAATCAGGTCAGGCCAACCCGAAACCCAACCTGAAATTTCGGGTCAGGTCGGGTTCAGGTTAGAAAATTTTGATCCGAAAGTTTCAGGTCGGGTTCGGGTTGAGCATTAACCCGACCCGAACCCGACCCGAAGTTTTTTATTTAGTTAAGTCTTTTTTTATTTACATTTGATATTTGATGACAGTATTAGAATATAGGGTGAATTATCCGCATACATTTATAATTAATTAAATTTTGTATAAAATAAAAATCTATATTTAAATTAGAAAGAGTTATAATATATAGTAAAATTATGCAATGAATATTTTTTGTTAAGACACAAAAGTTGGTTTCATAGGCATAATTTTGAGTTATTTTGATTGGAAATTTTTAAGATTTTTGAATCATGCAATCTAATTGGCCTGGGTCTGTCACTGCTGGTAACAAATAGATTTATCCTATTAAAAAATTGAAATATATAAGGTAGATGACTTTGTATAAGCATGATGGAAAATCCATTTGATTGGTTGTCGATCATCATAGTAACACCATATATAAAAATACAATTGATTATATGATAAATAGTCAACGAATCTGATTATATTTGATTAAATTTGCAAGAAGCAAGTAGCATCGAAGAATAAAATTTCTTTAAAATTTCATTGTTTGTTTGCTATATAAATTTATGACTTGCAA